GTCTCTCTCTCTCTCTCTCTCTCTCTCTCTCTCTCTGTGTGTGTGTGTGTGTGTGTGTGTGTGTGTGTGTGTCTCACACACACACACACACACACACACACACACACACACACACACACACACACACATATTCCATCGATAGGATGAGCAAAAACGAAATGAATCCTCCGCTGAAACGTGGAAATATACACTGCCACTTTTTTATTTTTGGCCGCGGCGCCGTTTTGCCGGCTGCTCCTACCATGGGCCCTGGGACCGTCTCGACTTTTCCCAACACTGCCAACGGGTGCTCGCGTGGAACCGTCACGCGAGACCCTCTATTTGCTTTATAGTATTAGAGAAGTCAATTTGTGGTGTAAATTTCGCAGTTTTACTCGTTTGTTGACCTCTATTTCGCAACCAAACTTTGACGTTCTGAGACTTCGTCCACTGCAGTGACGAGAAACATAATTCCAATGTGACTAAGTCTTGTCTATTTGCACGGATCATGTAGTGGATGTTGTGGGGCGGAGGGCACATTTTTCATGTCACATGTACGCCGCCCCAATTAGTTAACGATGGGGGTCTTACCCTACACAAAGCTCAGGGTGTATGCGATAAATGCATTTATTTTTGAAGGGATGGATGACACGAAGGATGAATCGATAGGCAGGGGAAATTTGTTTTCTCCTAGGATGCGCTTATTATTTGTATCTTTGTACTATTGTCTTCAGTACACCCATTAGTGGTACATTTTTTCATAATGGTCAACTTATACTAGACCAGTTGCCATGCAATAATCAGGTGTTGAGTGTCGGAGGGGTTAACGACGCACGCATTGTTGTTGCGACCATACTCGAGGACTCGTCTCTTTAGTGTGCTTGCACGCTCAAAGATCGGATTGAAGGAAAGATAACCCATGTCAGTTGAGAGTTCTCCTGTCCTTTCTAGATGCATATGAATGTGGTCATGGAATATGCTATCATTCAATAAATCTTCCTCATTTCAGCAGATATGAATATTCTAAAAACTGTCTTCCTGCAGTTGATGTTCAACAGTCATGCAGTCTCTTACAAACTTTGTTTTGCAATTAAATGTCCATTTTTTTTTATTTTTTTTTTGGACATAAATGCACCCTCCTGTCGAGCGTCCCTTACATAAGATAGTACAGGCAGGTCCAGCGTCCCTTACATAAGATAGTACAGACAATCTTTAAAGAAAAGAATCAGGAAATGCCTGCCAGCATTGATTGCTCTTAAGAGGAACTCACTGCCCCTCGCTCTCTCAAGCATGACTAAAGTTGGGGTTGTCATGATCCACCCCACCCCTTCCTCCTGCCGGTTGGCCGCCGTTCAACATACTTCAGCCCGTAATCCAACTTATTTCGCGACATACAACTGTGCTTGGAGTATCAGCGAGAGCGACACACAGATATTCAGATTGCAAAATCACGAAGTAGTCCAGATAGTCATGTACCAAGCAGAGAGGACAATGCACCAAAACATCATCCAAATAAGAGCAATACAATGAAGTCGTATGCCAATGTCAACGCTCTCTGGCCTCACCAACACAGTATTAGTTGTCGCTCCTACTAATTAGTGCCCAGCACCCACCCTACACTACTTGGCCTATCTTCGTCTGCCCACGTTCTTGCAA